ATGAACCGATTCTGTGTTTGTTCCTCGATCGTTCGTTCAATACGGGTTGGTGGCTGCGCGTTGCTGCATAATCCACATGGAGTTATGTAGATCCTGGGCTTATCGCTCTAGGATTTCCATTCTGTCTCATTATTAATTTCCATGCGTTAAGCAGCCAGAGCGAGGATTAGTTGGAAGCGTCGTTATACGAGCTGTTGGAACTTCCTACCACATTTGCGCTTGGGTCTATTGATTTTGAGAAATAATTGTTCTTTGTCGAGGATGTATATGTATAATATATACAGATTAAACTGAAACAAAATGTTAGGTCAATAAATTTTTAATGAAATTTTGTGAGTTTTGAATTGAGAAACTAGTTTGTTACTTATTCTATTATTTAAAAAAAAACCAAATATATTTTATCTTGTTTTATGTAGAAGAATAAAGAAAATATAGATTTTTAAGAAATAGGAGGTATTATTCTTAAGTAAAGGTCATATATGAATATTTTAATATAATTAATAAAAAAAATCTTATAAATGTTGAAATACTTTACATTCTAGTACTGAAATAACGATTATGCAATCAGCTTCTTCGAGATCTTATTTTGTACAAAATAAATTTGGTACCTATAGAGGATATAAAATACTGCAATATTTGATGAAATAGAAGATAATAATATCTTTAAACTGGAGATCATATATATACATTTTTTTAAATAATTAATAAAAAAATCTTATAAAATGTTGAGATATTTTACATGCTATAGTGTTACAATTGAAATAACGATTATGCAATAAATTTTTTAGATACTTTATCTCGTGCAATGTTCCAAATATCACCAAAATACCCAATAATCGGTTTTTGTATATATCATTAGATAATATCATTTTTAATTTAACTTCTTGTCCAGACCGAGAAAATCAATGCTGTTACAAATCTCATGACCTGCATGAAAAGATATAATTCGAACCGTGGCGTCACGGCGAGGTCGGAGTCAAAGAGTTCAGTGCGATTTTGTGAACATTCTTTAAGATGCAAACTCGGCCTGACGTGAGTGGTCCGTCGCGCTCGATGTGTAACGAGTGTGTATACAGGGTGCTTGACTTTTCGCTTTTCGCTGCACATCACCACATCGTCGACGTCGCGAAATGGGGATACGGGTTTGCCTATCTTCCGTCAAAGCATTAAAAAAGTACAGGCAAATATATTTCTGCAGCTAATGTCGTCTTACCTCCAAAATATACCGACTTCAAACTCGAGATAGAGAACTCTCGTATTTTGAAAGGTATATTTATACTCTTTATTTCTGTCAGAATTAATTTCACAATATTTTTGATGAAATTGCTATTATTATCAGAGTAAACATTTGGTTTCGCTTCTTTCTAAATTTAAGTTTAACAAAATAAGATTATGGAGCACGTACGAAAGGCGCTTGTACTCTTTCAAGCTTATAAATGTTCGTATAAGAACGTTATCCGTGTATTTTACGTATGTGTAACATACCATGTATTACACGTAAGATATACTTCATAGCCACAAGAATAGGGTGAAAGCAGACAAAAGAGAAGATAGGCGTTGAAATTTTATGCTGATATCAGTAACATACAAATCGTGAATCTCATATTACTTTTTAGAAAGGGCCACGGATGATTGAGAATGTCAGGACTGTATTTAATTTTTTGTTCGTATTAAATGTCATTTTATTCCACCGAAATGATTATAATAACGCATGGAACGATTATAATAACGCTCTTCCTCGCGAGTCGACTCCTCGGATCTCTCGGTGTTCGGGCGGGCGGATGGTTTTCTTCTCAGACGTTCTGATTACTCCACTGATTGAGAGGACTCTGCCTCTGGTCGGCAATTAGCGTCCTTATATAATATTCGCAATGTCTCGGTTCGTTCGTCTTATTTGAATTCGTCAACAGTGACTAACAATAAGTCTAAGACTCGTCACAAACAAACACGATCGAATCAACGGTTAAGGCGTCGCGTCGCCCGTTTCCGACGTCTCCGAATATATTATGTACAATTCTATACTTCTACATGGAATCGCTTACAAATGTAATAGTTGTGGAAAAACATCTATTAAAATTTTCAAGTTTGGGGACGAAGAATAAATTTTTTTTTATTAAAAAATATGTACACAATAATCCGCGATATTAAAATATATAAGTTTAGCGAAGATCTCTGAAGAAAGAAAATTTAAAATGACTAAATACAAAATAATAAATCTATATCTTTTTCAAATGGAAACAGGATCATATGATTATATCTGATCATTTTTTCTCGGGGAGCTTTAATGAAAGTTATGAAATTATTTTGACATTGTTTGAATTACAAGACTCTGCAAAACAGAGTTTTACATTGTTTAAAACTTCTGCATGTCGATCAAAGTAGATAGAAAGCAAGTGAAGTTACTTCAATATAATACATGCCCAAATTTGCTATTGACTGATAAGTGGAGTCTTAAAACGCTATTTAAAATGCTAATTAAGAGCTTGTTCATAATATCGTGCGCCATCATTTACTAAACGATGCATCGTAAAACATGCATGACATACGATAAACTCAATCCGTCAACGTGGCATTCTTTCCAAGAGAATATTACTCATCTGCAAATAAGCGAATATTATACATATATGTACGATATTAAATATTTACTATATTAAACATTTTTATGACATAGGATAAAAGTTCACCTGATATTTACTGTTCTAAACGACATATGAAAATAATAATTAGAAATAAAATAACAATTAAAGTCCAATATCTGCGAAATTCTGGTTTGTTTCATAAAAATATTAGATTAAAAATTTATATAATAGTGCGAAATAATTTTCTTAAATGTTGTGTATATCCTTTGCCAGTTATACTTTATATCATATATTGTGGCATATCTTTTCACACATTTTTGTGCATAAAAAGCACGTGCTTTTTTAAAATAAATATATACTGTACATATACAATTATAATAAACTTTATAATTAATCGTAAATAACATAATTAAAAATTAATCGATTAAATAGTTTGAGATTTATAGAATACATAATTGATTCAGACTCTTTATTCTAGCTAATACAATAATAGCTTGTATAACTTGATGGTACGACAATTATTCCATCACAATTTTATTTCTATATTTATGTCTGTACCTATGTCATACACATAAATTTTATTTCGTAAAATTCTATTTTAGTCGAAACCGAACCTTAATCGATTGAGTATCGCTATTCAAATGCTATCCGGAAATTCCGCTGTAGCAGTTAGCGAATTCGATGTACATATCTCGGCCAGCCGCATTTACATACCAATACGTATAAAATATCCTATAAATAATTCATCGAGGGGTGAATTCTGTTCGCACGTAAGCGAGTAAGTTTTTCGACCGTAATCGATTAAAAACTTGTAGTTTGATGTTCCAACTTCGAGCGAGACATTTAAGTCAGAACTCGTAAAAAAAAAAGGAAATATAATGGCCATCCTGTTTGATCAGCCCGACATCCATACGCTTCGCGAAACGACCACGAAATCCTTCTCCGCGTAGGAAGGAAACGCATTGCAACGCTTGGATGCGCCTCGCAGCGGTGGCGCGATGACATCGGTGATAAACGACGAGATCAGGATGACATGTAACACGAGGTGTGGCGGTCGAGAGACGGCGAACGAAATTAAAGAGCGATAGATGGATACGCGGGACGATACGTGAAAGGCAAGGATTGCGTTGAAGAAGCGCAGAGAGAGAACAAACCAAAAGGAAGAGAATTGGAAAATTCGTGGATAACTCCGTTTGACGAAGTGAACAAAATCAAAATAAAATCCCGAGGGATGAAAATCAAATGTGTTTTCACGCATTTGTCCTTTATCGTTGCTGAATTGCATTCCCATTTCCAAGTATTTCTTTCACATTATTGGCATACCGTATTTCTATAAAAATGCTTGAATTTGCTACTTGAATATTGAATTTGGGATTTAATTGCTAGATGAAGTCATTCGATCAATACTATGCGACTAAATATTATATGTGATTGTATAAATAAAAAATTTTTAGTTATTATGTTGCACATTAATTTTAAAGTTTTCGAGTTGGATGTAAAAGAAATTTTTCTTTATTAGAATATCTCACATTGTATTTCGGGAAGATTCGTGAAATGATTTACCAGCGAACTTCAACAAAGTTTCCATCGTATTTCTAATAGGTTCCGTTGTGTCGGCAAAATAACATTTCTTCCTGACGAAGTTTATTCCTTAATTCGATTCACGAGAACGATACATTTTCTCATTGAACTTACATTCGCGCGATGCACCTGCGGAATCTCGTCAAAATCAGAGCGTAAGTCGACTGGTGTTTTTTATATCGGTAACCACGAGGGAAGGACGAAGGAATGAACGAGGGGAAAGAGAGAAGAAGAGAAAAAAAGGGAAAAACGCAACGATGCGAGGAGGTGCGGAAGATGGGACTAAAGGGATGAAAGGGAACACCCGACCTGATAGGCGAGTGAGAAAGGTATACAACCGAGCGCGGAACAAGCCGCAGAGACCGCGATATGCCACCGGCACGCGGAAGAAGGACGAAGACATTGGGTACGTAAGCGCGCGGGAAGGACAAAACGGCGCAACGTGGCGGCGAGAGAGAAAGCAGGAAGAGAATCAGGTCGGAGCAAGACGCTCGACTTCGGAATACAACCGTGAAGAAGACGGAGATGTGGAGTAGGCAGCCGAGGAGAGACAGGAGGAGAGTGCGATGCGTGATGAAACGACGAGGACGAGGAGGGACGACCGAGTAGGGCTGAGCGAGAAATCACGAGCGGCACCGAGAGGCAGCAGAGAGAGAAAAGGACTTTCCCGAGGTAGAGACCTACATATTCCGTGCGGGGCCAATGAGACGGCGCAATGTGGCGGCATGGACTCTCCGTCCTCTTCTGATCCCGTTGGCCTGGTCTCCGTTCCGACTACGGCGCCGTCGCTCTGGGACGGCGGGACGTGGGACGCGGCGGGGATCCGAAGGTGGCTCACTGGTGTAGAACGCCGCGAGAACTCAGTTGCTCACGAGCATCCGTCGACTGATGAACATGGTCTCTTATACGTCGAACAGCGCGAGTGCCGTGCTTGCGATGTGCCGTTACGCTCTCTTCCTCGTGGTGGCAGTTGTGGCTCTCAGCAGAGCTGACAATGCTGAGAGCGGTCTCAAGGTGGAGAAGCTGTACATGCCCGAGGTATGCGACGTCAGGTCGAAGAAGGGCGACCAGCTGACCATGCACTATACCGGCACGCTCCAGGACGGCAGCAAGTTCGACTCAAGGTCAGTGACAGCGCGCGAAAGACCGGACAAGCGTCAGAGAATGCGAATAGACTGAATACTGAATACAGATAAATTGGTGAGCGTGTGTAGAGGATGTGCGAGGTCGAAGAACTTTGTCGATTATGAGATTTGCCTATTAACGAAATTGTGCTGCTAGTGAAGGCTGGTACAAGAGCCACAGAATCAGTGGAGAATCGTCTGCGTTCCGAGAATACGATGACGATGATGTCATGCATTAGCAAGAACTAGTTTAACGTCTTCGACAGATATGACAGGTTTTCTCAGTGTCAGTACAATAATTCTCTGTTGTATAATATTTTGCTTCGAGTAATATTCTCAAGTACGATACTTTGGTAAATTATTCGCATTATTTTTTAAATAAAATAAACGTGAAACAAATTTCTAGATAAAATAATAACGCGGTACTCGCAAAAGTGGGACAAAAGTGAACTAAAGAAAAGATGGAAAGAAGCAACTGATGATGTCATGCGTTACTAAAAAAATGCAGATTAATTTCACTGAGAGTTATGATAAATTTATTTGATACGGTATAATATACTCTCTCCGATATTATGATCGGTATTTTAATTACTGATCTAGTATTTAATTGATGACAGTATCGGTGGTCAAAAAAATCGCGAAACTCTCGAATTAAGTTACGTATCTAGCGACTATGAAAAAAAATTGTAATTTCTTTATATATGTTAAAATGATTTAAAAAATTAGATTAAACAATAAAAAAATGTTATAAGTTCATTGATAACAAAAATAGTCGAACAACTACGTCAACTCTATTAACCTCGCTTAGCACTTCTAAAATATTCTGTAAAAAATTTCTTTATTTCTTTGACCTGGTTACTCCGAAAAATTAGTTTGAAATATTCATCATATTTGATTAAAGTAGCGTTCGTGAATAAAAAAATGTTACAAAAAATGTTAGACAGGATTAAATAATAGACAAAAAAAGATTCTTTATTATTTGATTTTTTTTTAAATATATAACTGTTATATTTTAAACAATTAATACTTATATTAATAATAATAGTTAAAATTATGAATATTTAGATAAACTGACGTAAGTCTTAAAATAGTAACAATAACAGAAATCTATTAAATAATAAGTATTGTTATTAGTTTTTAATGTAATGCGTTTATAAATAAAAAAATAAAGAATAAATTTTGGATTTATTTAAGATTAAAACAAAAAGCTTCTTTAAATTTAATTTATTTATAATATTTTGACTTTAATCGTAATAGTGTGAATAGAAAAGCATGAACACGCAGCGTAGCTTAAGATAGAAATGCGAAAATATTCAAAATTAAGATGAAAGTTTCGATTGTACAAAATAGTATAGACGCGGATGACGTCAACAGTTGTACAAAGAGAAGGGAAAAGAGAGATAACGTGACTACCTCCTGTTGAAATTTCCAACGTGGACGTACGTCATTGGAGGACACGAAGATGACGGGCATACATTCCAAGTGAGACTCTCGCCGTTCGAAAGCAACTTTTTAACATATAATGGGAAGAGCGTAAACTCTGTTTTCAGAGTTTCAGCTGCTTTGAAATCCTTGCTTTCACGTAGAACCGTGTAATCGATATAATAATAGTGGCGAAGTGATACTCGCGCGGAATGCAGATGGACTAAAATGCGAAAAATTGAAAATACATCGTGTTTTATTTGCGGATCAAACGATCGATCGTCATATAAACTTATTAGGATTGAATTTCATAAAGCACGCGTTTCGCAAGATTTTTATGAGAAGAAGCACATTTCGAGAGGAGGCACTTTTCAAAGAAAAACATGAATTTAATAATAATATTTTTGCCTTTGTAAAAGAAATATCTCCTTTTTTCTTCTGTCTTGAAGATTTAACAGGCGCGTAAAAACTGTTACGATAATCTGGTTTAAAAGTGATTTGTCAATATCTGGTGCGATTACTCTCGCCGATAACCTACCTCTTGAACTTTCTTTAGCCACGTCGATTGTGCTCCAAATCGGATTTGGCACGAGAGCTGGCTGCATTCGGTACGATATATGCGTCTCGCGATCTCCTCTGCACGATTAACTGCTTGTATATCTCGGAATGACAGTTCACTCTAAACCATCGATCGATCAGAGATCGCGTTTCCGATTCTAAAGTACAATAAAGATCTGTTTTTGACGTAGATAAATAATACAATTGAAGTATGCATGAAGTAAGATTTTATTATTTTATGAAGTTAAATTTATCTTCTTACATATGGAACGTGCTTTTTATCCAAATAACATTCTTTTAAATGAGTATTTGAGTGCGAAATATCCAATTTGGGATAGTTATTGTAATGAACCAATTATGATTTAACAAATCGATCATGTTTCACGTTTCACATTTTGTGCAATTATGATTCAACAAGTCGAGTATGTTTCACATTTTGTGCAATAGCTGAACGGATGAAGAGTTAATCTTATCACCTCTTATGTAACGTTTATATTGTAGACGTAACATTCCTTGTGTAGTTAATTAAAGAATCTTTGATTAAAAGATGTTCGTAAGCAAATGTTTGTTAGTTGATTAGCTTTGTGCAGCATAATTTATCTCTTAAGATATAACAGGTCATTAATTTGATGGTGTTATCGCACAAACTGATAGGAAAATCTCTAGGAATAATTGGAATAGTAATTAAGTTGGAAAAAATGATTTAAGATCTAATAAAAGATTAGCGCTAGTTTTCAATTTATTCACAATGCACTTTGAAGGAAAGATAATGTGATCGATATATCGTTAGAGACTCGCACCACTGATGTAAAATCTCAATTAAATTAATTAAGTGCATTTTTCCAATATGTTCGCTATATTGCGATGCTTCTTGCTTTATCAACTAACCGTTTTCAAGTTACCTCATGCATATGATAGAACCTCATTCTTCTTCTTTTTTTTCCTCTTATCTTATGACGTACATTAATACTTCACCGCGTGAAACGATATTAACGATGCGCAACGGTGTATAGAACGATAATGAATAATGCACGTAGATTGATGCTTCGTTAATCGCGGTTTGCGGCATATTGTAATCTTTCTATAAACTTGTATAACATTCTCTACACTAAATTTTGTAATTATAATACAATATGTCGTAAAATATTTTCGGATATATATAGGCGATTAATATTTCGACTCATATTCTCACATGGCGTACAACTATGATATTTCGTGCCGAAAGATAATACAATGGGCATATATATACGTGTATGTTATTATAATATTCCAATTCATAATGTTTAATATGGCATAATACCGCTTAGTTCCGAACGATAAACGCAACGTAAATGTAACGTAATATCGATCTACCCGCTGACGGGATTCATTACTGATTTCGCGCAAAGTTCTCGTTAATGAAACTATCGAGTTTGCAACTCAATCAATTTAACAACGCGCAAGACTAAAAAAAACTTCTGTCGAGTATCCGTACCCTTTAATTTCTTAGATAAATGAACTCCGATATTCTTGTGTCGCATCAATATTGACATACCCTATAAAAAAAATTCATTATTTGTAGAGCAGTTCTGTCATATTTATCGCCAATCGAACGATTTGGATAATGTGGCAGACGGACACTAATGGACGTATTGAGCTGACCTCTTTTCAGTGACCAAATTGTTTCGTAGTCCGTTATGGATACCGTTAATCGTATGTCGGACAACTTGCACCTGGAAAACTTACTGTCGTACTGTTAAGTACACAGTACGAAAGAGAGAAAAGCGTAAAGTAAACTTAAATACCCTACTTTCTTTCTTCATATATTTTCCAAGCGTTAACTTTTATTTCCCGTTCAATACCTTGAATATTAAAATTATTATATTAATCAGTAATTATATTACATTAAAGTTGAATAATTATTGAATAATTATTACATATTACTATTATTATTTAATTTTATTGTACACATTTTCTCGGTGAAAATGATAAATCAGACTGATCAATTTATAATCCATGGCAGATTTAATATCTTTATTTAATCGTATTTAAAAATCTTTTAATTTTAAATATAATAAATATAATATTGAATTAAATATAATATAAAAAATACATATTATTTTTTATTAAAACTCTACAGATGAAAATTAGGGCATTTGTTAAACTTGGATGTGTTTTATAATTATAATACCTGCAAATAGCAATAAATTGATATGCATGAAATTACAGAATATTCATTGATAATTATACTAAAACAGAAAAATAATAATGCGGAAAAAGTTATTGAAATATATTTATTCAGTGTATATGTATACTGATTATTAAATTTGATTATTAAATACTAAATACTTTTTTATAAAATTATGAATATTATAACTCATTAAAAAATCAATATTTTTATTTAATTTCGATAAAGCGAATTCCCCAGCAACGAAAGATGAGAAAGGTATCGGAGTCGTGTATCAGGCGTGACGTTAATCGGGAGTCTATCGAGAATTACCTCCATTTACCGACTCTGCACGTCGATTCGACTGTTTCTTGTCGAGGAGCATCGCAATCACCTGTTTATCGCCTCGCATTCCGCTCAAGCCCCATTATCCTCTTCCATTCGTGCCGCCTCCGTACCGCGAGAAAGCGAAGCACGTTAGCGAAAACGTTGACTCCATTTGGCACGAGTCTAGAGTTTGCCCCCAAGGCGGATTCAGCGGCGCCAGAGTTTTCCATCGGATCCATCTCGAGCGGACACAAACCGAGTCCTTGCTCGAGTAAGTTTTGCACCCGGAACATCCCGACGAGACTTTAATGCACTTCACGACGTTCCCACACAAATTTTCTCTACTTCGTCTCGTATCGAATCCTTTTTTCTTTGCGATACGTGCGTCACATGGTTCAAAAGAATCTCTACGTGGATCATTGCTATAACATTATCACACAAAGAGCAGAAACATATTTATTATGAATTACATTTGGATTAATTGATTGCAAGTAAAAGATTGAGAAATGTGAAAAGATCAGAATGATAAAATAAATTCACTAATTGT